AGATGCCATCTTGAACTAAGTCAGGAAAATTTCCATGACGTTTGCACCCTTTAGTTATGGCCTTGTATGTTTGCCAAGTTAAGGGAGGTCCTAAATTGAATAAAGTAAAAGAAGTGTTACTTTTTCATATTTGAACTACAGTAACCTAAAATGGAGACACCTAAGGTATAAATAGGTGTACTTTTAAATGTTAAGACACAGAGGAGAGACTTGGAGACAGACGCTGCTCCATCTTAAAATGACAGAGAGGCTGACATGATGACATGTTCAGAAGGGTATGTTAACCTATTAATGATATTTGCAAGCATGTAATTTAATCTTATAAACTCTGCTATAATGGATTTTATATTTTTATATAATAAATATCCAAAAGACAAAACGATTGCTTCCAAGACAATCCTTATTTTATATTGTATTCTCAATTATTTATATATGTTAAATAGAGGATCTCTTACACTATATAAAATTATGGCTAAGATATCTGTATGGTTAGCCCTACTAAGTTCTATGCTTTAAGACATTATAGTGGTAAATAAGGGAACCACCAGCGGTTACAGGATGACAACCTCCAAACCAGGGGTGCAAGGTCCACCTGCATCCTGCTCCACCATGGCCGCAACCTCTCCACATGCTTCTTCTCTGTACCCAGCAGCGAGGCATGCGTCAATTCCGTCCTGTATATCTCCTCCACCCGTTCCATCCACTGCCCTATTGCTGGAGTCTTGTCCTGCTACCAATATAGTAGGATCAGAGCATTGGCAGCATTCAGTAAGTGTCGAAGGATATAGCCCAATGGTGGCTGGTGTGGAGTGTGGGAGAGCTGTCTCCACGTCAAAGCTTCCGTCTGTCCCCAGGACCTCTTTCGTTTTACTTCTTTCCAGAATTGTGTAATGCGTGAGCATTCCCACCATATGTGCACTATCGTACTTTGTATGTACAGTATATCATGGATTTTTTGATTTTTGTCATAACTACCGCAGATGAATTAAGAGTGAATATCATCCTGTATATTTGGCAATAGTGGTCGTTTTTTTTTCTTTTCTAAATTTGTTTGTCATTAAAGGACCACTATAGTGCCAGGAAAACATACTCGTTTTCCTGGCACTATAGTGCCCTGAGGGTGCCCCCACCCTCAGGGACCCCCTCCCGCCCGGCTCTGGAAGGGGGAAAGGGGTAATAACTTACCTTTTTCCAGCGCTGGGCGGGGAGCTCTCCTCCTCCTCTCCACCTCCGTTACGCCCAGCCGGCTGAATGCGCACGCGCGGCAAGAGCTGCGCGCGCATTCAGCCGGTCTCATAGGAAAGCATTTACAATGCTTTCCTATGAACGCTGGCGTGCTCTCACTGTGAAAATCACAGTGAGAAGCACGCAAGCGCCTCTAGTGGCTGTCAATGAGACAGCCACTAGAGGCTTTGGGGGAAGGCTTAACCCATTCATAATTATAGCAGTTTCTCTGAAACTGCTATAATTATGAAAAAATGGGTTAATCCTAGCTGGACCTGGCACCCAGACCACTTCATTAAGCTGAAGTGGTCTGGGTGCCTAGAGTGGTCCTTTAAGTATATAATAAATTAATTTATGCACATCAACATATCGATTCGTGTTGATGCATATTATATGCTATTGAGTGCGGTATTAATAGCTATTTATTTGTAATAACCTCAAGGCAAAATCTGCAAAAAATAAAATATTGATACCGCACTCCAAATTTGATGTTGAGAAAAAGTATTTAATTTATATACTCTGCAAGGTAACTAGTGCATCACTTCAATCAAAAAAAGAGAAAGAATTGATAATATGTACAAAGGGCCTTTGAAGGGATATCGATCCCGAGCGCGCAGCCCCCTGATGAACTGTACCCTGCAAGAGAACCCAGCGTTTATTCCAAGAAGCACTGCTCTCCCAACGATCCTTCCAACCAGCTACACTTTGGATGGATCACGAACATTCATTTCTGCAAGGCGACCATAACTGGGATTGTGGCAACAGAAACCTGACATCTCCTAGCCTCCACCTGTATTGGATCCAAGTATTCCCAGTACCCTTCTAGTCTGGTGAGATCCAACCATTATCATCTTGAGTACTCAAAAACATTTTTTATTTTTTTTTATATATGAGACTTTCTTTTTCCATTTTTTTGGGCCTTTTTTTCAATTCCCATAACTCTACTATTGACTGGTATTGCAAGTGCATCATTCTCAATTACAGTGTGGGATCTGGTCTCTTAAACACATTACACTAAATAGTATTTTTTTTTTATGCAGACAGTTTACAGGACATATGAATAATCCACTTGCAATCATTTCTGTCGGCACTATAGATGTAATTTTTGAATGAATTTATACAATGATTTAACTTAATTGATTTTTTTTTCTTCTGATTTACAAATATTGGCTATATCTTTTATATATAATCAGTGTACAGAATGCAGTCAGCAATCTATGTAAATATCTTTGTACATATCAATTCTTTCTCTTTTTTTGATTGAAGTGATGCACTAATTAATAATTACCTTGCATAGTATATAAATTAAATACTTTATCTCCGCATCAAATTTGGAGTGCGGTATCAATATTTTATTTTTTAAAGGTTGTAATACTTGCCTGAAGCTCTGGCTTGGGCCACCACCACGTTTCTGTCAGAAGGTCCGCTTTTTTGAACCTGGACTTTGCCGACAAGACAAACCAGTCCCGCCTTTGCCTTGTGATTTCTGTAAATGTTTCTGCTGGTTACAAGACATTTAGAATTTTTATAACACAAAACTGATATTTATACAAAGTCTCCGCCATTCTACATTTGTATTGAGATGTAAAAAACAGATGCGAGAGAGACTGAAATTGATGGACTCATGTCATAACATTTCAGCTATGTAACATCTACTTTGCCATTAGATCTGAGGCTATTGAAGAGTTATCCGCTATACAGAGATCAAATAGAACCAATAAATACATATGGAGGGACGCAGATTGCCCACCCCTGCATTAAGGTGTATGTTTTGTTTGTTTTTTCTTTGCACTGCAAAAAAAAAAGAATTAATATTTTTTTTTTTTTTTTAAATCATCAAGCTGTTGTGAACTACCTACAGTTATTTATAAGGCCTGAGAATGCACAAGTTAAAAGTAGAAATAAGAAATATTTTGCTTTAAATATTATAATTTTCCTGTAAGTATATACTTTTGACTATATTGGCTAGCGAATATCTCTAAGATTTATAGAGAGAGGAGTTGATTGATAATTTAAATGTATACAATTGATACAACCTTTGTGAGCAATGTCATGCTATTTATGGTAAGTTAAATGTATACTTTGTTGTCTTTGTGCCTTTATGGCCACATCAAATCTACACATTGGCCATTTTTGATGACATAGGCAAAATCTTTTTGGCAAATTTTGGTAAAATGTAGAAAAAAAATAGTCTGTAAATGAAAGTGGGAATTGTCGGTTCAAGGTAAAGTTTATTAAAAAATAGCCCTATTTATTTATTTTTAACTTGTCTATTTTGGCCTAAAACGTGAAATGCTTTGAAGTCCCAACAATTCTGTTAATAGATTTGTTTCATAACGTGAGCATGCTTCTAAAACAAACGCTGCTCTTCATTTTCCTGCAGATTTCAGCCGGTAAATATTATCCCAATTTGGTTTGAGTTAATAAGGTAATGCTAAAGTATGAATTTCAACTAGTTCATACTGGATGGACTGGAAGTGCTCAGCAGAGACCGGTAAGTGTCAAGCTAGTTTTTATTTATTTATTTTTTTAATATTCTGTTTATCTCTATTAAACAAAAAAAAAAAAATATATGTATATATATATATATATATGTGTGTGTGTGAGGTGTGGAGGAAAAAAATAAAATAAAGGGACACTAAAAGTCACCAAAACAACTTCAGCCTAACGAAGCAGTTTTGATGTATAGATCATGCCCCTGAAGTATCACTGCTTAATTTAGTGCCATTCACTTTTGGTTCTGTTTATATAGCCCTAGCCACACCTCCCCTGGCTGTGACTTTAAACGTTTTTTGTTTTTTTGTATCTCCTGCTCTGTAAATTGAACTTTAATTACATACAGGAGGCTCCTGTAAGGTCTAGCAAGCTATTAACATAGCAGGAGATAGAAAATTCTAAATTAAACAGAGTTTGCAATAAAGGAAGTATAAACATTGGCTTACTTTTTACAGGAAGGGTTTAGGAAGACTGTGCAAGTCACATGCAGGGAGGTGTGGCTAGGGCTGCATAAACTAAGTAATTAAACTCCTAAATGACAGTGAATTTTGCAGTAAAACTGCAAGGGCATGATCTGTTCACCAAAACTGCTTCATTCAGCTAAAGTTGTTTTAGTGACTACAGTGTCCCTTTAAATGTAGAAATCCTCACCTCTTTATACTGCAAGTGGTTACCTCCATCTTCGCTACCTGTCAGTCATTATTAAAAATAAGCTCATATGCACCTAGCAGCCTGCATAGAGTAAACATTTAAAGTTTGTACTCCTATTCTTTATTTGGAATGTTTGCTCTAACTTTGCCTTTTCTGGACTGGATTATGATGTAATTTGTAAAATCTTCAATATACATTTAAAAAACAAAAAGAAAACGGGCATCAGATAAAAAAAAAAAAATTAACTTTTTTTTTTTTTTAACACAAGTTATTCTAGAGATATGACCATTCACCGAGAGTGACTTCTGGAACCATAACCACTACAGTGTGCCAAATTGGTTATGGCGCTTACAGTAACCCTTAAAGATTTTTTGTTTTATTTCTGTGCTTATTTTGGGGTTTTATTACTATATTTTTTTTTATAACATGACTGCCCGAAAACAGAATCCAGTTCTCTCAAACAGCAGAGGAATGATTGCAAAGCTCTGTAAAAGATAAAAAAAAGAAACCTATTTAAACATCTTTTATAAAAATCGTGAATTCAAAGTCCCTGCTATGTGTAGTTTAGTGTGAGGAACTGCAAGAGAGGGGTTGGGCAGATAGAGACGATGCTTCCTGTGGTTTTGGACATAAGATGTGTCACGCACCCAGAACCTGCAAATTCTCTGAAGGACAGGAAAAAGTTGACCAGGGCACCCACTCCCCGGGGTTTTCGTGACTCGATTCTAACTACAGCAGCGGGGAGACCTGTGTTAACTTCACATCCTTTGAATATTAAAATCAACAGGTAAGATATCTTACTGGTCACACTGATAGTTTATTACCCAATTCGTCTTAATAAAAATATTACAATTTCTGTCATTTTTTGCTAAAAATATTAACTATTGGTTTTCTTGTTTTTTGTTTTTGTTATGTTTTGTTTTAAATAGCAATGTAATTAGTGTGTAGTCTGAGTCTGTTTATATTTTCAGACTGACTTATTTGTTTAACCCCTTAAGGACACATGACATGTGTGACATGTCATGATTCCCTTTTATTCCAGAAGTTTGGTCCTTAAGGGGTTAATGAGAAATTAAGGAAAATCGACAGTTTTAGATGACCTAAAATAGCCAAATTGGATAAATTCTTTAGCTCTTTTTTTTCAGCTCGGCGGTTTTAGAATAAAATCTTCAATTCCTGGTCTAACAAACTAATGCTTTAGTTATCCATTTATTTGGCAAGTAGATTTTCTCTCTCCTGAAGATGAATATAATGTCCATGATTTAAGTTTTAAGGTAACACCATTGTCGCCGTTTGAAAATTACTTAATTTGCAAAAAACACTAAAATATTGTGAGAATTGGTCATATTGAACAGATTATCACAACACTGGCTATTTGTACCCCAGTCTGCATCTAGTACCTCTAAAAATGCAAAATTTAGCGAATAGCGCATTTTCTAATTATTCAAACATATTAAAACAGTACCTGAATTGGAAAAGGTAAAAATATACGGACATACAGAAATTGGTATTTTCCTAATGTTGAACAAAGAAATACAGTTCTGCTGTATAGCGTTACAGTTAGACATTTTAGGTTCTTATTTGTGTGTGTTGGTGAACGCATATGTGTATACAGGTGTCTGTGCATGTTTTGGATTGGTGAGATTATTAAACTGTTTATTTACCAAAATGAGAATGTAAAATTGAAGTTAAGAGTAGCTGTTCGGAGAATATTTCCAGTTTGATTATTTTGGCCTTTTGGCCCAACATTTCTCACTGTAGTGCATAACCTTGTAAATCTTAAAATATTCTCAAGGGAAAATTAATAATGGATATTCTTTATATTGTACTACTAAACTACACTACAAAACTTTTTTTAAAATTATTTTTGTTACGGATTATCTATAATCTAATCAAATTAGTGTGACTCATGGGTGTATCTTAATTACTGTAGGACAGGCTGTCCATGATTCTAGAAACACATTTTTTTATCATGTTATCTGGAGGTGAACATGTTCGACTATCATACTAGATTGATATCTGAACTACTAACTTGTCATTTATTTTCCCAACAGTGGCCTTGATTTAATATTTTTAGGTTAAGTTTGTCAAATGATTTGACATTTTTGGATACACTTTTCAAATTATTTAATATTTTTAAAAATATTAGATTTATTTTAAAAAATCACTATATATTTTTTTTCGATGTGTCATATTTGTGTGTAAACAAAGATGTCACGACACAGTTTACAGAGGAACATCACAGTTATGAATGTTATAAAAAAAAATTATATTTTGTAATATTGAAATTTAATTGTAAACCTATATCCAAAAATATTAAATGACCTGAAAATCCTATCCAAAAATATTCAATAAAGGTCAATGTACAAAAATAGCATTTATTAAATCAGACTATTTTTACGGGAAGGCGTTGCGTATGTTTACTACATAAGTAATGGGATAGATTTGTTGTTGCGACTGTTTTATTAGTTATTATTGTTTTAATTGGCAAAAAAAAAAAGTATTTTTGTGTTCCATTTAGAAGCAATATGTGATTATGTAATGTTCAGGTTAATTCTGTTTGCTTACTGGTAGTATTTCAAAACCATTGTAGAGACCTCTTTAAGAGGATTTTCACTGAGTTACAAACCGGTTATTTGTTAAATGCAACATATACAGCTAAATGTGCTTAATTGCAAGAAATGTTTGCATCCAGATTGAAAAAATACTGTGTATTTAAAAAAAATATATATATAATAAAACAAAAACTGGAGAGAATTTGTTGGAATTCTGTATGAAGTATTAAATTCAGATATCTATTAAACACCAACAAAATACCCAATACTGAATTTCCAGTGTAAGGCATGTTTGCTAAATAAATTAATTCACATGTTTTTACCAGTGAAACTACAGAAATCCACAATATGTGGCCTCTGACAATGCAAACTGCCAGCAAGGAAATTTTTATTAAAAATAAATAAATAAATTGGCACACTCGGTGGTCCCCAGACTCATATTATCCATTTGGCAGCCAGCAATAAAGTCCCTTCTATTCTAATCACACCATAGGCGGCTATGTGAGGGTGTAACCTGTGAACAGAAACTCAATTATCAATTCTTATAATGCTATTTATTTTAATGTATATCATAAAATATATAATAATTTATTTTTCGGGGGAATTCTTTTTTTAACTGTTTGCCCACAAGCTGATCGCGTAACCAAATCATGTCCAATAGGGTCAATTAATTAAGCATTTGACAAGTATATTTCATTGGAGATATTGATTTTAAATCTGGAATTGTAATGATTCTTAAGCTCTTCTATGTGGATCTCTGGTTTAGCATAAAAAAATGTGCCAGTCTCCAATGGTTATCTCTTTTACATATTGCATTTTATCGCAAGATAACATTCTGCACAATTAAACCAGTGTAAGATAAGAGGGCCACGCTGTGCAATATGCTCTCTGTAGGTTTTGCAATTTTTTTAAAATTATTTTTTATTTTTTATATTTTTTCAAAGTGTGTTTAATCTGAATATAATTTTTTATAGTCTTTAAAATGGACTCGAAAATAATACTCTAAACTTTAATTATTGGAAATTGAGTAGGAAATGTAAGCATTTAGGCCAAACTATAACTAGTAACATAGGTGGGGTGTAGATTTTTCCAATGTGACTTTGTTTTGCCTAATATTCCCTGTTCAATACCCAACAATTCACATTCACTATGTAAGTACACTCAGAACACATGACAGCTCAGTGAACTTGTGAAATCACGTAGAAGACTTATCTTCAAGTGATCAAATTAGATCTCATTTATCATCTCTTTGTGTCCGATTTTAATCCTCGTATAAACTTGGCCTTTTTTTCTTTCTTAATTCGTATATATGTTTATGCATTGTGAGGCTTATCTCTGTGGTTTTTGTCTCTTGTCTGATGTTGTGGGTCTGTCTCTCTAAGATGCTGCTATCAGATGTGTGTTTGTTTTTTTACTTTTAACATATATTTTTTTTAATCAGATGTTTTTGTTTTTTTACTTATAACATTTTTTTTCAAGTTTATATGGTTTTTTTTAAATTTCAAAATGCAAAAATTTAAAATGTTTTGTTTTAAATTTTTTTATTTTACACCAAATATTTATGTACGAAAAAAAAAAGCAACAACAAAAAAATCCTTGGTAAAGAGAGACAAAGCTCCACTCACTTACAGCATGGAGAGAGGCCTAATGACAACGCTGCAAAATTAACAACCGAGACAAGGGTGTTCAAAAAAGTTTATTGGCATCAAAACAAAAACAACATGGGGAGCCACAAAACTAATGCTTTTCAGCCCCTTAGGTCTTTAATCATAGGAACAATGGTAATACACGCATAACAATTTTAATATATTTTCTTTATATAATATTGTTTTTGTGCCAAAAAACATTTTTTTTATTCATCCATGTTACGAGCTTGTCTCTGTAATGCTTTTTGCGGTGTTATGATTAATAAAGCATCATCACTTCTGTTTATTGGAGTGACTATGGTACTGTAGGCTTGTTTTCTCTGAAGCTCTTTTGGTGTGCTTCGACAAAAACAGTGTAGAGTTGCCTAGACCCTCTACACTGATAATGAGGAAATAACACTTCTGCATTATCAGTATCAATCTATCCAAGCTTAAAGGAACACTATACTCACCAGACAAACTACAGCTTAATGTAGTTGTTCTGGTGTCTATAAGCTGTCCCCGCAGGATTTTTAGTGTAAGTACTGCCTGTTCAGAGAAAAGGCAGTGTTTACATTGCTGCCTAGTAAATCCTCTAAAGGCAGTCACTCTGAAAGCCACTCGAGGTGCTTCCTGTGTCAGTTCTGCACAGTGTGCAGTACTGGTGTTTAGCGTCTCCACGCTCTGCATGGAGTCACTGAACGCTCCAATAGAGATGCATAGATTCAAAGCATCTTTACTAGGATATGCTAATTGGTGCAGCAAGTTCTGCCTGCGCATGTGCAATAGCCTCCAATTGGCTGAGATAGTCAAATATGATCTCTGCCACAGAGCAGGGTCATGCAGAGACAGCCGCGGCGAGACCTGCGTGGGAGAAAACGTGATTAAAAACACCTTTTTTTAATGTAAAGAGAGGGGTCCAGAACCCTAAATAGTGATTTTACCACTATAGTGTCAGGAATACAGGTTTGTGTTCCTGACCCTGTGATGTTCCTTTAAGCTGTAATAATAGGCTCAGAGTGCTGGGAGTGGGTTCCCACTTAGCACACATAGACTCATAGCACCATAACAAACCATTACATTTATTTTGTAAATTGTGGCCAATTATTTTTTACTAACAATATCAATGTTTGCGATTGTCTAATCAATTTTTTTTTTTTTTTAAATATTGTTTCTTTATTTCTTTGTTAAGGCAGCAGCAATGCAGGAACCAGAGATCTGTTACATTCTAGACGCCATCCTTTTTCTCTATGGTATTATCCTCACAGCTCTCTACTGCCACCTGAAGGTGAGAGCAATGCATACTACCAGGGGCACATTGATAATGTTGGTTAGTACTCAAAGCTCAGTCACAGCTTTATTCACTGATCAAACTAAATCTTTTAAGCTTCACACATTAAACACTTGTATGTATAATATCAGAATCCTGTAATGACTTTATGAATCTCTTAGAGAAATAATAAATTGCAGTTATAATTGTGTATATTAGTATTTATGGACATAACTGACTTATAAAACAATCAGTATTAGCATTTAAAAAAACAAACAAACAAACATTTTTTTAAAGGGGTGAGTTCTAGCAGGCTATTGGTCTGCCTCGGTGATGGTTACTGAAGATGTTAATGATCGAAATGTACCGTATGCTCTGCTAAAACCAAAAGCAGCAATGGCAAGATCACCATCTCATGTGTACAGAATACATATAACTCAAAAGCACGCAGATGTATTCAGCTGTAATAACAAAAATATATTTATATTAAATGTTGATGCCAAAGTCAAGGAATGGCAGTAGTTTAAAACAAATCCATGATTTCTGGAGAGGCCTGTAGGGCCGATGACATAATGTGCCTGTGACATAGTGACATCAGCTCCTGGTCTCTTATTTTAGTGCGAGTCAATATATGGGCGGTTTTGTATATCCGTTTTCCAGGGTAGAGGTAGTTGTTGTGGTGGACGCAGATCAGGGGAAATGGAGTCCAGTGTTGGTGTTATTTTCCCCTCCGAGATTCCATAACATTTTCCCCTGTGAATTTATATTTTGCGTTTTTCCATGTCAGCCATTCCTTCCCTGCTCCTTTGTTCTCCTCTCAGCTGATACACTGTAACAGCCAGAGAGAATAGAAATAGAGAAGTAGCCTTTGTTTTCTACATTGTGGTTCCTACTATGAAAGCAAATTGCAAATGGCCTGTCAGTTTTCAAGGGAGTCAGTCCAGTTCTGGGGAAACTGTTTCTGTTTCATGATCTGATTGCAACACCTTAAATTGCTACATAAGGCCTGCCCCTGTCTTGTCAAAATTCTTAGAGGGATAATCTTCAAGCCAATGTTCGTCACTGCATGTTCCTTATTCCTGAATGCCTTCAATCTGTTCATTTAAGCTTCAACAATTCAGAATAAAAAACAAAACAAAAAAAAAACATTAAACTACAAGCCCCTCCTTCCCACAGTGTGACATCACAGGGGGAAGTTATGTCAGTAAAAGATCTTGTATAATGTGTAGCAATGAGCTCGCTAATAGCTTTACATGACAGGTCTTTTTCAGCAGCCATACTGATGCACAGCTGCTAATTCATGTAAGCGGCCGCCTAGGACCCCTGTCCCACTCTAACTGGGCACCTGTGATATTAGTAGTAAGATTGTTGTATAGGATTCTGATTAAATGGAATATCAAAATACCAAACAAATGTGAACTAAAGGGCTCTGTGCAGGTGAAGGACACCAGGTTAAATACCTCTAAGGCGTTCAGGCTCAAAAGCATTCTTTGTGAATTTGCTCCCTCCAGTGTGTCGCACAGGAATGGCCTTTACCAATATAGAGCTAGCTCCTCCTCAACAGATTGTCCACCTTGAGCAAAGCCATGGTGCGGGGGTGTGATGTGGGGCAAGAATGCTTGTAATCCGTTGGGTATTTCATGTGTAGTTGTGGGTCCATAGGAACAGTTTCAGTAGTTTCACCTTCTTATCCAGTTTGGGAATCAGCCTGGCTTTGGCTAGAGAGAATAGTGGATATACTGTATTAAGTATACTGTATTGCATTATAAAGGGAAGTTAGAGGTGTGACCAGATGACGTTGCAGCATTTTGAAGTAGCTTCTGTCCTCGCTATTTTGGCCCAAAATGTTAAAATAAATTATAATTTGCTTTGAATTCACAGCAATTAGCCCTTTCAATAATAAACCTGCTTGTGTATGTAGAGACATTTTAAATAGTATTGTTCAGTATTAACGACCTGCTAAGATTCACTGCAACCCTGAGATCTACGTTTTCACGTAGCCTCCAACAGTAAGAGAAATGTCAGGAGATGCATCTTATATGATTATATTAATTGGGCTGCAAATAGAGTAAACGGCAGGAATAGAGTTCGGCACAGTGCACACATCACCAGGTACATGTAATAATCAATATGTCATGCATTAATAAAGTATTCCTTTGAAGAACTCGAGGTAATCCTAGTCCCAGATTGCTAACGTCGGAATTTAATTTCTGTTTGTTTTTTCCCACAGATAAAGACTAACAGAGAGAAGAAAAATGCAGAGTCTCACGTTTATGATGTACGTCACTTCCACAGTTCATTGCGCTTTCTATACTTATGGTTTGACACCACCCAATGGTGTAGTTACATTTTAAACGTGCTCATTAAGATAACAAACCAATATAGTTCCACCATTTTCTGATGTTCCTTTTCTACATAAAGACCACTAGACAAGTGACTTTGCAGGTTGTTGTGCAACAACTTTCAGGCCATGTGTTAAACAGGCAGTGGCGTACACATGACCCATGGGGCCCCGGTGCGAAAATTGATCCATGGGCCCCACCCCTCCACCCCCCTGTGCTTACTCTGCGCAGGTCGGGGCCGCAACACATGGCGGCGGGTACCTGGTCGCAGGGCTGCGACCCCTACGACCGAGGTATGTTCGCCAGTGCATGCACATACACTTAAAGGACCACTATAGACACCCAGATCACTTCAGCTCAATGAAGTGGTCTGGGTGCCAGGTTCCTCTAGTTTTAACCCTGCAGCTGAATACATATGTTTCACTGAGGGTTAATCCAGCCTCTAGTGGCCGCTAGAGGGGCTTCCGCGATTCTCACTGTGAAAATCACAATGAGAAGACGCTGGTTTGAATGCGTGCGCGGCTCTTGACGAGCATGCGGATTCGGACCTGAGAGGCGGATCGGGGCGGAGGGATCCCCAGCGCCAAGGGAGTCCGGCGCTGGAGAAAGGTAAGTGCTGAAGGGGTTTTAAACACACTCTCATGAACAGACACATACACACTAGCTAACAGACACACACATTTACTGACAGACATACATGCACACTCACTTACAAAACATACACTCTCACTGGCAAAAACACACTTACTAAAACACCTAACAGACTCACTAACAGACTCACAAACTAACACACTCAGTAACAGACACACACACTCACTGACACACAAACTAACACACACGGACACTCACTAGCATACACACACTCAATAACAGAAAAAGGATAGGGGGCACTCCCGAGACCTGCATTTTGTATGAAAGGTGCTGCCGCAGTGACCAAACTTCATACATAAAACAATAAATAGTTGCAGCGCACTCAGACTACAAAACAATATATAATACAAAGAAGGCTACTAAAATGCCTATCTGAGAATAAATATGGGGATTTAGTTACACCATATGGCCATATGTTGTTAAGCCCACCACTACTTTCAAAGTACCCCAATATTGGTGGGTCCTACGCTAAAAATGTGGGGGACAAATTAAATAGTATTAGTGTTGAAAATGACAAGTGTTAAATTAAATCCTGATAAGAGCACAGTGAGTATACAAAAATGAGTGATGAAAGCAATTAAAAACAGTGTTAAAACTAAACAAATAATGTGTTAGTGCTAAAAGGAGTATACTCACTATAGCAGATGATATCTGTGCTGACTAGAGAAAATAATAAAAGTGACTAGACTACTGAGAAACTCCTCCTATTAATACACACCTGTGGCCACCTCTAAAGGAGCCTTAACAACATATGGCCATATGGTGGAACTAAATCCCCATATTTATTCTCAGATAGGCATTTTAGTAGCCTTCTTTGTATTATATATTGTTTTGTAGTCTGAGTGCGCTGCAACTATTTATTGTTTTACACATTCAATAACAGACACACACACACACACACACACACACACAAAAACTAACACACTCACTGACACTCATTAGCACATACACACACACGCTGACACAAACACTAACACACACACACTCTAACACTAACACACATATACACACTTTTTTTTAAAATGTGATCCCCCAGGCTTCCTACCTTTGGGAGTGCTGTGGAGATTCCTGCAGTCCCTGGGGTCCAGTTGCTGGGCGGCCGGTCCTGTGGGCGCGCGAGGGAGCACTCTCCCCTGAGCGCTCTCTGCCCAGCTCTCTCGCGCGCCGCTTATTGATGGCTGAGGCAGAATATGACGTCATATTCCGGCTCCGGCATCAGTGCGGTGCGTGTGAGGGAACTGGGCAGAGAGCGTTTAGGGGAGCGTGCTCCTTCGCGTGCCACAGGACCGGCCGGTGACACCAGGGCCAGCCTCGGTGGGCCCTGAGGTGGCCAGCTCCTGGGTCCCCCAGGAGAAGAGGCTGGCCACATTGGCGTACATACCGGGTCGCCGGGTCCAGTCGCAATTGCGACCCCTGCGACCGCGGTATGTACGCCAGTGTATACAGGTTTATTCACTAACGCGAGGAATCAATGTGAATTACAAAGTTAAGGCCAGACTAGCTGACTTAGAGAATTTTTCCATTTCAGCTACTTTCCCCTTAAATTTGAAACTCACCTTAAATTCACTTTGAATTATCACTTTGGGAAGTAACCCTGATGCTATCGAACTCTCTTCTCCTTTCCTCTGCTCTGCTGTTTTTTTCCTGCCCTATTACCTTGGGACAACACACTCGAAATTAGTTTCCACCAGCATTTAACCCCCCAAAAATCCATCCGTCAATAGATGTCACTTTTTGGTTTAATATTACTGACATCAAATAAACTTCGTATCAATCTTATGTTTGCTGCAGATAAACATTTATTTCCTACCATGTTCCTAGAGAATTATGGTGTATCCTTTAACTGTAAGCTCCTTGGCCCAATCACTGATGTAAGTCTTCCTTATTCCTTTAGACCACCTGTCTGTAAATTCCTTGAAACAGTCTACCTTTATTCCATTTAGCTGTAAACTCCATTGGACATTTAGACCACTGAACTGTAAAGTAATTGACAAAAAAAACTGTTGTAAAAGAACACTATAGGGTCAGGAATACGAACATGTATTCCTGAATCTATAGTGTTAAATACACAATTTAGGCCCTGACCCTTCTTGTCCCCCTTAAATAAAATGTTAAAACTCACCTTTATTCCAGCGCCAGTTTGGTCCAATGGCGCTGGCTCCACCCCCGCTCCACCTCCTTGGCTGAGATCATCTAAATTGCCAATCTCAATCAATCCAATGCTTTCCCATTACTCAGCGCTGCCCAATCAGCATCTCCTCATAGAGATACATTGAATCAATGCATCTCCATAGGAATGTTCAGCATATCCATGCAGAGTGTGGAGAGGATTAATGTCAGTGCAGCATTTTTGATACATTTTTAAAATATATATGTTGAAACAGCAATGTTCTACTTGTACTATAACTTGCAAATAAAAGCTAAGAACATGTTAACATTGGGTATTTCAAACTCAGGACAAAATTTTAAAACTATTTAGCACTGGTGTTTTATGCGTAACAGATTTTGTGAGTCAAAGTTAGAAAAAGTGTATTTTTACATTTTTTTCATCATATTTTATATATTTTTTTTATAGCAAATTATATGATATGATGAAAATAATTGTATCTTTAGAAAGACCATTTAATGGCGAGAAAAACTGTTTATAATATGTATTTGTAGAGTAAATGTGTAAGAGTAAAATTACAGCTAAACACAAACACAGCAGAAATGTAAAAAGAGCCCGGTAAGAAAATTGAAAAATGGTCTGGTCACTAAGGGGATTAAAGCCTTGAAATATAAGTTACTAGGACAAAGTCCTTTGTAATTAGACAATGAGACATTATCCTACCTTTCTTGCTGGTCTCTATTCCCTGTGTATGTTTTCACTCATTAAGAAGGGTTATTTAGCTGAATATCCACATTTACATCAATACAAGAGATAATTTTAGCTGCTGTCTTGTTTGATAAACACTATTTTTCCCCGCAGCATCTCAATAATCCCGAAAAGAGAATCTATGATGTAATTGGAGGAGATAAAGATATAGAAATGAAGGTAAGACCATGTACAATACCAGTGTCTTATTATTTCTTACTATTAGTTTCCCGTTTTCCTTAAAGGGACACTGTAGTCACTATAACCATTTCATCTCTTTGAATTGGTTATAGTGCCTGGAGTGCCCTGGCACTGTCCCTCCATTCAGTGTTGCACCATATTCGTGCAGTATGCCACAAAATAAGAGTCCCTGGCCTCCCTAAGTCCAGCCCCTTCTGTATGTGTAGCTAAGACAGAGATTACACACTTGTTGTCATACCCATTCATACCGTCAGTTGGAGCTCTGACAGGCTAAAAGCAGTCAGCTGACACTCTCAGCCAATCACAGGTGCCTATTGCTGCTCAGGCTAATACTTCCTTATTAGCCAAAGCAGCACAGAGGGGATGGACTGCCTGTGACTCTTGCTTAGCATTAAAACATTAAAGACTGTTTAATGCTGAATGAAATGATGGTACCAGAGGACTCCAGACACTATAACCAGTTTAATGAGATGAAGCATATACAGTGGCTACGGTGTCCCTTTAAATCACAAGGAAAGAGCTAGAATGGATCGCTGTGGTAGCTGAGCGGTCTAAGAAGTGTGCGTGTTACAATTAACTTCAGAATAGTGCAGGCTGAACTCCACAGATACAAACTGGATAATAATCTTTTGGCCATGCTAATGATGCTGCATAGTATGGCTGGAAGGAATCTGCATTTATTTTGGTGGGAAGTTGTGCAATTAGCTGATTCAAATAGGAACTCAGCAGAAAACCTGAACTCTGTAGCTCTCTGTAGTCAAATGATGAACTCTCCATAGACTCAGCAGCTAAATACACATTGAACTCAAACCGTGCATCTCTTCGCATATTGGATTCTGAATCCAGCAGCTTTCTTTCGATCTCATGTAATATTGAACTGTGCTGCTCTCCGTGGATCCATTGTAACATTGAACCCTTCAGCTCTCCATAGTATTAACAAGGAACTCAGCAGATCAACACATATTGTCATTTCTCAAATCTATCTCTTACTCTCGTAGGTTAATTAGTGGGACCACACTAATCACCTTCCAATTCTGTGACTTTCACACCCTGTTGTTTGGTTGCTATCCCCCACACTGCCCTTTCTATTGTGTTTTTATAACCCACCTACTCTAGATTGTAAGCTTGTTCAAGCAGGATCCTCATCAACCTATTATTCCTGTCAAAATCAGTACTTCTCTCATTTATTGTTAAATTCCCCCTTTATAATATTTTAAAGCCCTGCAGAATAAGTTGGCGCTATACAAATGTAATTAATAAAATATTGAATTATGAATCCAGCAACTATAGAACTGTGCACCTGACTATAGCCAGCATGTAACACTGAACCCTGCTGCTCTGTATAGACTCCATGTAACACTGAACCCTGCAGCTCTGTATAGACACCATGTAACACTGAACCCTGCAGCTCTGTATAGACTCCATGTAACATTGAACCCTGCAGCTCTGTATAGACTCCATGTAACACTGAACCCTGCAGCTCTGTATAGACTCCATGTAACACTGAACCCTGCAGCTCTGTATAGACTCCATGTAACACTGAACCCTGCAGCTCTGTATAGACTCCTTGTAACACTGAACCCTGCAGCTCTGTATAGACTCCATGTAACACTGAACCCTGCAGCTCTGTATAGACTCCATGTAACATTGAAACCTGCAGCTCTGTATAGACTCCATGTAACATTGAACCTTGCAGCTCTGTATAGACTCCATGTAACACTGAATCCTGCTGCTCTGTATAGACTCCATGTAACACTGAACCCTGCAGCTCTGTATAGACTCCATGTAACACTGAACCCTGCAGCTCTGTATAGACTCCATGTAACATTGAAACCTGCAGCTCTGTATAGACTCCATGTAACATTGAACCTTGCAGCTCTGTATAGACTCCATGTAACACTGAACCCTGCTGCTCTGTATAGACTCCATGTAACACTGAACCCTGCTGCTCTGTATAGACTCCATGTAACACTGAACCCTGCAGCTCTGTATAGACTCCATGTGACACTGAACCCTGCAGCTCTGTATAGACTCCATGTAACATTGAACCCTGCAGCTCTGTATAGACTCCATGTAACATTGAACCCTGCAGCTCTGTATAGACTCCATGTGACACTGAACCATGCAGCTCTGTATAGACCCCATGTAACATTGAACCCTGCAGCTCTGTATAGACTCCATGTAACACTGAACCCTGCAGCTCTGTATAGACTCCATGTGACACTGAACCCTGCAGCTCTGTATAGACTCCATGTAACACTGAACCATGCAGCTCTGTATAGACTCCATGTAACACTGAACCCTGCAGCTCTGTATAGACTCCATGTAACACTGAACCCTGCAGCTCTGTATAGACTCCATGTGACACTGAACCCTGCAGCTCTGTATAGACTCCATGTGACACTGAACCCTGCAGCTCTGTATAGACTCCATGTAACATTGAACCCTGCAGCTCTGTATACACTCCATGTAACACTGAACCCTGCAGCTCTGTATAGACTCCATGTAACATTGAACCCCGCTGCTCTGTATAGACTCCATGTGACACTGAACCCCGCAGCTCTGTATAAACTCCATGTAACACTGAACCCTGCAGCTCTGTATAGACTCCATGTAACACTGAACCCTGCAGCTCTGTATAGACTCCATGTGACACTGAACCCCGCAGCTCTGTATAAACTCCATGTAACACTGAACCCCGCAGCTCTGTATAGACTCCATGTGACAGTGAACCCTGCAGCTCTGTATAGACTCCATGTGACAGTGAACCCCGCAGCTCTGTATAGACTCCATGTGACAGTGAACCCCGCAGCTCTGTATAGACTCCATGTAACACTGAACCCTGCAGCTCTGTATAGACTCTAAATGACAGTGAACCCTGCAGCTTTGTATAGACTCCATGTAACACTGAACCCTGCTGCTCTGTATAGACTCCATGTAACACTGAACCCTGCAGCTCTGTATAGACTCCATGTAACACTGAACCCTGCAGCTCTGTATAGACTCCATGTAACATTGAACCCTGCAGCTCTGTATAGTCTCCATGTAACACTGAACCCTGCAGCTCTGTATACACTCCATGTAACACTGAACCCCGCAGCTCTGTATAGACTCCATGTAACACTGAACCCTGCAGCTCTGTATAGACTCCATGTAACATTGAACCCTGCAGCTCTGTATAGACTCCATGTGACAGTGAACCCTGCAGCTCTGGATAGACTCCATGTGACATTGAACCCTGCAGCTCTGTATAGACTCCATGTGACACTGGACCCTGCAGCTCTGTATAGAATCCATGTAACATTGAACTCTGCAGCTCTGTTTAGACTCCATGTAACACTGAACCCCTCAGCTCTGTATAGACTCCATGTAACACTGAACCCTGCAGCTCTGTATAGACTCCATGTAACACTGAACCCCGCAGCTCTGTATAGACTCCATGTAACAGTGAACCCTGCAGCTCTGTATAGACTCAATGTAACACTGAACCCTGCAGCTCTGTATAGACTCCATGTAACACTGAACCCCTCAGCTCTGTATAGACTCCATGTAACACTGAACCCTGCAGCTCTGTATAGACTCCATGTAACACTGAACGCGTCAGCTCTGTATAGACTCCATGTGACAGTGAACCCTGCAGCTCTGTATAGACTCCATGTAACACTGAACGCGTCAGCTCTGTATAGACTCCATGTGACAGTGAACCCTGCAGCTCTATATAGACTCCATGTAACATTGAACCCTGCAGCTCTGTATAGACTCCATGTAACACTGAACCCTGCAGCTCTGTATAGACTCCATGTAACATTGAACCCTGCAGCTCTGTATAGACTCCATGTAACATTGAACCCTGCAGCTCTGTATAGACTCCATGTGACAGTGAACCCTGCAGCTCTGGATAGACTCCATGTGACATTGAACCCTGCAGCTCTGTATAGACTCCATGTGACACTGAACCCTGCAGCTCTGTATAGACTCCATGTAACACTGAACCATGCAGCTCTGTATAGACTCCATGTAACACTGAACCTTGCAGCTCTGTATAGACTCCATGTAACATTGAACCCTGCAGCTCTGTATAGACTCCATGTGACACCGAACCCTGCAGCTCTGTATAGACTCCATGTAACACTGAACCCTGCAGCTCTGTATAGACTCCATGTAACACTGAACCCTGCAGCTCTGTATAGACTCCATGTAACACTGAACCTTGCAGCTCTGTATAGACTCCATGTAACACTGAACCTTGCAGCTCTGTATAGACTCCATGTAACACTGAACCCTGCAGCTCTGTATAGACTCCATGTAACAATGAACCCTGCAGCTCTGTATAGACTCCATGTGACACTGAACCCTGCAGCTCTGTATAGACTGAAAAGAAGAAGTTAGGCAAGTGTACATTTCTTACAAAATGTAACCGTGGTATGTGTAAAGAATATTAAATCTCTTTGCGTTGAAGATATCCGTGTCTGGTTGAGTGTACCTTATACTTGTAGCTCTGTATATATGATGAGAGTTGTATTGAGAACAGGAAGGTGTTTTTAACACTTCTTCCTTATAAACCCGCACAAGACAGGCGTTTTCGCTAATTTGACCTAATTTCAGCGGCTACTTTATATTTCAAACTGCTCACAGCTCTTTACACCCAGACCCACCGTGCACTATAGTGCAATGATTCAATTCTTCTGTTAAAGGTAGCGATCAGTCTGTTCATTCATTCATTCATTTTCATTTAAATAATATAACAATGTAACATTTTGGCAGCAGTAAAAATTTCAAATATCTTTTCCAGTCTATATTACTACAAATCTGGCTACATAACTACAATCTGAGTATTTTTTTTGTGGGCGCTGGCTACTTTTAACCACACTTTTTAAACTTAGAAAAGAAAGAAAACAAAAAAAAAAACTGTATAATAAAAACCCAAACTTTATAATTGCTTATTTTTTTATTTCTTAATCTATTTGAATCTAAATAAAACATTTGAGCTGACAGTTCTGTATTTGACATTAGTTCTCTAAAATAGTCAGGGGAAGTGTTTATGGGTTACATTTTACAAGTTACATTTCCTCCTTATCAATATCAAGTTTGGACTGTATTTATTGGCTGACTATCCTGTATGGTGTCTGCGTATGGGTGGGATTTCTACCGCTAATTTCAGATTATAACCTCCACATTATTATTATGCTGAGTGAGAGCCGGGGTCAAAGATGACAGTGGATTCTCAGTTTGCCAAGTTGCTTAAAAAGTTTTTCTCATGAAGTAGGGGGAACAGTGCCAGGGACCATAAAGTCTACAGCAGGCTTTGGTGCTTCGAGTGCCCCTTTAAACGCAGTGGAGGCTGTGATTTTTCCTGAGCATTGAATATATAATATATTACTAATGTTCACTATCCCTCCCGGAACGCTCTCCGTCCGTCATATTCCAAATGCTCTTTAGGAATATCGATAATACGTTCTCGTGCCAAGCTTTGTCTTGTCTTTGTGTTTTATGAGTATTTTCACTATGAATGTATCGTATGAATCTTGATTTAAACTGATTATATTATGAATAATAATAATAAAGGTATTAATTAAAGTTCTAAATTAATGTTAAAGGGACACTATAGTCACCCAGACCACTTCAGCTCAATGAAGTAGTCTGGGTGCCAGGTCCCCCAGGAAAACATTGAGAAATGCTTTCCTATGGGCGTTTTTAATGCACGCTCGGCTTTGGCCGTGCATGCGCATTCGGCTCCACTTGGAAGCTAAAGTCGGAGGGGGAGGAGAGGTCACCAGCGCTGAGGGAACAAACAACGAGTTTGTTTTCCTGACACTATAGTGATCCTTTAATCAGTTTACTATAACCAGACTTACTAAATGTTTGTCTTATAATATGTTTAAAACAAACAGATTTGCAGATAAGGATAACTGATTCTTATAAGAATAAATAAAGTTAAGGTTTTAAGTAACATAACACTAAGAGAATTGGTAATAAGTTAAAAAGTTGAAAGGATATATACAAACAAATTATGATAATAGTATCTGCCAGTTAATAAAAACGCACTATCCCTTGAAATAATATGGCAGAATACATATCTGATGTAAAAAAAAAAAAAGGAGTTAAATCACTTTGTTTATGCAGCCCTAGCCTCACCTCCCTGCATAACTTACACAGCCTTCCTAAACACTTCCTGTAAAGAGCTATCTAATGTTTACACTTCCTTTATTCTGCTTAATTTAGAATTTTCTTATCTCCTGCTCTCTTAATAGCCTTCTAAACACTGCAGGAGCCTCCTGTATGTGATTAAATGTTAATTTACAGAGTAGGCAATAAAAACGGCTAAAGCAAGTTAACATCTGGTTGAAAATGAAACCATTTTGTTTTCATGCAGGCTGCGTCAGTCACAGCCAGGGGAAGTATGACTCCTAAATGGCAGAGAATTAAGCAGTGAGATTTCAGGGGCATGATCTACATACCAAAACAGCTTCATTGAGCTAGAGTTGTTTCAGTGCCTCTAGTGACCTTTTAAATTGTAAAGTAAAACAAGACTCTATTGGACAATTGCCTGTATGTGTATGTTTATGGAACAGAATTCCCCACACCCTCTTGTGAGGTCAGCATTATCTTAATAGTGAAAGAAGAAGCTAAGCTATTTTAGGAGACCGCATTAACTGACCACTTCCTCCCATTGCTTTTAGCTTGTTACTCACATCCCTTCCAACTTTCAGCATAAGACAGCAGCACCTATTCCCATACACCAAAAGCCTCTTTATAGACCCCCAAAGCATTTCTCAAACCCCAAACTCTAGTTGGTCTCCATAGGTCTTTTTATTTCATTTTGGAAGTAAAACGTGGAATCCGCGTTGCTGAATCCTGTCTTTCTTTGAGATTTTAGTTTTTCTGAGGCTATATCTTTAGATATATAATGTTTGTTAAAGGATACATCCCTTAAACTAATTCCTATAGTACTTTGATCCAGTGCAGGAAAATTACTGATCTTAAAGGATCACTATAGTGTCAGGAAAACAAACCCGTTTTCCTGACACTATATAATCCTTGGGGGACCCTCACCCTCAGGGCCCCCATCCCGCTGGACTGAAGAGGTTAAAACCCATTCAGCCACTTACCTTAATCCAGCGCCGGGCTTCCTCGGCGCTGGGGACCTGTCCTCTCCCGCCGACGTCAGCTCCCGAGTGGAGCGGAATGCGTGTGCGCGGAAAGAGCATTCTCTCAGTCAATAGGAAAGCATTTCTCAATGCTTTCCTATGGGCGTTCTGCACGCTGGATGTGAATTTCGCATCCAGCGTCGCAGATGCGCCTCTAGCGGCTGTCAGGAAGACAGCCACTAGAGGTTGGATTAACCCCTAATGTAAACATAGCAGTTTCTTTGAAACTGCTATGTTTACATGTGAAGGGTTAAAACCTGAGGGACATTGCACCCAGACCACTTCATTGAGCTGAAGTGGTCTGGGTGACTATAGTGTCCCTTTAATGCTTTACACATAAAATAAGTGTAATCTATAAAATGTATCTGTTTATTTTAAACAATTTCTTTTCTTTTCCCTGTAGAAAGGGGCAAACGAAGGCTTGTACACTGTAAGTATAACTTTTAATTCTTTCTTGATCAATAAATGGAAAATAATTGTATTTAATCACCAGTTATGTAGTTTCACTTTAGAACATATTTCACTGGGAAGTAGAGAGGGAGTATTTAGGTAAAGCCTCTTGTAAATATGCAATGCTATCAGGGGTAGGGCCAGATTAAGAGCATAGTGGGCCTGGTGCTGACAATTATGACGGGCCTAATTACGGAATCTTATCGACCAAAAACACTGAAACAAGCAAACCTCCCAAGCGTTGTGTATCTGATGGAGATGGTGCTGGAGGGAAACTCATAGGATGCAGCTATGAGAAAACACATACTCTATGCTAATTTCTCTCTAACTTATGCTTTCATCTATCAAGTAAATCCATAACCCCTAACAGCAGTGTCCAGTGATGCAGGAAGTCAATGGGCGGGGTAAAAGGGTGTGCCACTGGCGCGAATCACATGACAAGACTTGCCAAAAGGGGTGAACATGCCCAAAAAGGGGCATGTTTGTCCAAAGAATTGGAAGGTCAGCCTGGCATGAATGCATGTCAGGCTGCCTGCCAATCCTGCAGGCTGTCCAACTAAGGGCATACTATGCAGGCAGCACCTTGAGCATGACATAAATGCGTCTAATGATGCGCTCGCTCAACGCTTTCTAAGGACTGTCCCCTAGCACTCACATGTCCACTTGTCTCATTACCTTCTTACTAGCAGGCAGAAGCTCCTGGTATATAGTCTGAGACATAGAAAAGATGTCTGTAGTGAGTGTAGAAGAAAGGGGACATGCCACAGTGTTAGAGAGACCAACGTCTGCATTACCTAAACTAACTTTAATGTCAGCAAGTGCACACAAGTTTTGTTCCCATACATCCTCTTAAGCTTCCAAACTTAAAGGGACACTATAGTCACCAGAACAACTACAGCTTATTGTATTTCTTCTGGTAAGTAGAATCATTCCATTCAGGCTTTTTGCAGTAAACACTGTCTTTTCAGAGAAAATAACTCCACTGGCCGCTCCTTAGATGGCTGCTAGAGGTGCTTCCTGGGGCAGTACTGCCTAGTCTGCAGCACTGCCATTCAGTGTCTCCACCCTCTGCATGCAGACACTGAACTTTCCTCATGATTGATTCAATGTATCTTTATGAGGAGATGCTGATTGGCCAGGGCTATGTTGGACTTGTGCTGGCTCTGCCCCTGATCTGCCTAGTTCACAGTCTCAGCCAATCCTATGGGGAAGTATTGTAATTTGCTCAGACCACCATTTCTGAGCCATCAGCTGCAGAATTGAATACAAGTAATATTTTGCTATATTTAGGGAGGCAAGAAGGGGCCAGGGTGGTGGTTTTAACATAATAGGGTCAGAAATACATGATTGTGTTCCTGACCCTATAGTGCTCCTTTAAGCAAGAGTATGTGAAGAGTAGTTAAGGTTGCCACCTTACTTGGAAAAAAGTACCAGCCTTAATAATTTGTATAATTAATTAGTTATGCGTGATATCACATGATGTAAATCACAATGAGTGACATCAGAGAAAATTATGTAAAATCACCAAACTACTCACAGTTTGATTCTGCTGTATAGATGGATTGCTCCCAGTGTTTCCCTGTCTCCCAGTGTCTCAGTCTTGCAAGTCACCCAGTGTCTCAGTGTCCCTATGTATCACAGTGTCAGTGTCCCCATCTCGCCCAGTCCCCTAGTCTCCCAGTGTCTGTGTCCCCGTTCCCCCCAGTGTCCCAATGTCTCAGTGTGTCCCCATGTCACTAGGATACTGGGGACACTGAGAGACCCAGGGACACTGAGAGAGCCGGGGACACTGAGACATTTAGGGAAACTGGTAGAAATGGGGACACTGGGAGACATGGGGACACGGACACAGACATGGGAACACAGACACTGGGAGACTAGGGGACACAGGGAGACTAGGGAACACTGGCTGGGAGACAGACACTTGGGGACACTGGAAGACATGGGAACAGTTGTGGACATAGACATGTGGACACTGGGACATATAGGGACACTGGGAGACATGGGGACCCCAGGCACACTGAGACACTAGGAACACACTGGGAGACATGGAGACACTGAAACATTTGGGGACACTAAGACACTAGGGAAACAGACACTGGGAGACTAGGGGATACTGGGAGACTAGGGGACACTGGCTGGGAGACAGACACTTGGGGAGACATGGGGACAGTTGTGGACATAGACATGGGGGCACTGGGACACATGGGGACACTAGGCACACTGAGACACATGGGACACAGACACTGGGAGACTTGGGGACACTGAGACACTAGGGACACTGGCTGGGGGACATAGTGTCTCCGTGTCCCAATGTCCCTATGTCTCACAGCGTCCCCATGTGTCTCAGCATCCCCATGTGTCTCAGCATCCCCATGTGTCTGTGTCCCCTGGTGTCTCAGTGTCCCCTGGTGTCTCAGTGTCCCCTAGTATCTCAGTGTCCCCTGGTGTCTCAGTGTCCCCTAGTATCTCAGTGTCCCCATATGTCCCCATGTTTTCCAGTGTCCCCAAGTGTCTGTGTTCCCAGGTCTCCCAGTGTTTGTGTCCTTGTGTCTCAGTGTCCCCTAGTGTATGTGTCACCGTGTCCCCTAGTGTCTGTGTCCCCATGTGTCCCCTAGTGTCTGTGTCCCCAATGTGTCCCCTAGTGTCTCGGTGTCCCCAATGTGTCCCCTAGTGTCTCTGTGTCCCCATGTGTCCCCTAGTGTCTCAGTGTCCCCTAGTGTCTCTATGTCCCCAATGTGTCCCCTAGTGTCTCGGTGTCCCCAATGTGTCCCCTAGTGTATCTGTGTCCCCATGTGTCCCCTAGTGTCTCAGTGTCCCCAATGTGTCCCCTAGTGTCTCTATGTCCCCTAGTGTCTCGGTGTCCCCATGTGTCCCCTAGTGTCTCAGTGTCCCCTAGTGTCTCAGTGTCCCCATGTCTCCATGCTGCCATTCCCCCGATCCCTCACTTACCTGAGCCTAGAGCTGCTGTCTGGATTCTCTGTGCTGTGTAGCTGCTCCCCCACGGATCAGTGAGTAGTAGAGAGAGGCAGGGATATTCTGTAACTTCCTATCCCTGCCTCTCTCCACACACAGTGACCCCTACTGGCCGGTGCTGGTATTGCAGAGTAATTTCCATTTATTCTGAGAAAATTACCTGCATTTGTTTTGCTGGTATTACTGCAATACCGGCAGGGCCAGGCAGCCTCAAATACCGTCTGTGCCATTAAAATACCAGTCAGGTGGCAAACCTAAGAGTAGTGTGTAAAAAATTTTAATGGGTCTTGGCCTGGGCCTGGAGCTGCAGCTCCATCAGCCCCTATGTTAATCCGGCCCTGATCAGGGGTTTTGGGGGCGCTGTCCAGACAGCGAGGCCCGTCACAAGCCCTTAAGAGCCACAAGTTCTTTTAAAGGGGACACTGTAGGCACCCAGACAACTTCAGCTCATTAAAGTAGTCTGGGTGCTGTGTCCCTTTTGCACTTAGTGCTGCAATGTAAAACACTGCAATTCCAAGCCTGCCCCCAGGAACTAGAGGGCTTCCAGAATCCAAACAGACTTTTGGTCCGTTATCTGATGCTGGACATCCTCACGGAACTCAAGCATCAGATTTTCCCCATAGGAAAGCATTGAATAATGGGGAGGTGTAATGCACACGTGACCATTGCCGCGCATGCGCATTATTTTTCCCCCGCCTGCGTCAGTGGGGGGGGGGAGTGTTGGCAGAGCCTGACCAAGCGCCGAGGGACATCAGTGCTGGATTCGGGTCAGTGGCTGAAGGGGTGCACGAGGGATGGGGGACCTAATAACCCTATAGTGCCAGGAAAATGGTTTTGTTTTCCTGGCACTATAGGATCCCTTTAAGCTACTGATCCTATACTTTTTTGGTATGACAGGATTGCAAGAGTGTTTTCATTCTCCAAATTAAAGTTTATTCGATTTTCAAGAAGAAAAATACAATGATCTGAAGACACAGGTTGGCTACATCTAACATAAAGACACTTAATTTTAGCTAATCAGCTAAAGGTGATTAATTATCCCCATAAATCAGGGTTGGGGTTGTTTTGTACAACATCTCTCATAATGCTGGCAAGGCATCAAGGGAGATGTAGTCCAGACAATCTGGAGAGACAAAGATTCCCCACCCCTGCCATAACTGATGACCATTTTCCATATAAAACTACCATAAACACCAACTGGTAAATCTATAGTGTTAGGAATACAAAATTCTCCCCCCACACCCCATACACTTAATTCCAGATTCCAGGACCGATCTCCCTCGTCACTGAGTTGGCGCTCTGCTTCTTCTGACGTTATCCGACAGTGAGCACTGTGAGTGCATTATGCCCTCCTTATAAGGAAGCATTGAATCAATGCTTTTCTATGGGGATTTCACTGATGCTGGATGTCCTCATGCAGAATGTGATGACGTCCAGGGTCGTTTAAGGGATTTATAGTCAGGTAAAATCCAGGAAGTGCCTCTAGTGACTTCCTGATGGGCAGCCGCTAGAGGCGATCCTAGTCCTGCAATGTTTTCAAAAACTGCTATGTTTTACATTACAGGACCAAGGGGTACGGGGACATAGCATCTAGACCACTTCAATGAGCTAAATAGGTCTGGGTGCCTATAGTGTCCCCTTGATAAAGTGTGAACTCTATACTATTGTAAATCTTATTACACAGATCTTTTTTATGTTTTGTTTTTTGTTAATTCCGCCAACATTTTGGGGGAAGAAATTATCCTTTGTTTGTGCCCCCAATCATTTTATATTTCTTTTCCAATCTCGTAGGGTCTGGGCCCAGTAGAAAAGGGCACTTATGAAACACTGACTGGTGCCGATAAACGAACCTGAAGCCTTATCTCAAAAAACGTAGCATCTACTTCACCATCAGCATCCCCTGTGTACCCGTGTGTATTGAATCAATATCTCCTCGAGAAGCAATCTGTTGAATAAATTGTCTTTTACAAACACTCTCTTTCGCTAGCAGAACTTTGCAACAGGGAAACTGTTAGGAAAAGCTTTATTATTTTGGGGATCATTGGGCATTGCTTCAAAACTTGCTCAGTACCAGTACAGGAGTGGGTGGAGAGTGCCCACTACTGAAGGTCAAAAACAAGTAAACATTGAAACAGATGCATTTACGCAAGCGCTTCCTCATTACTAGAAGCAAAGACTTCCTATTAATTGTCCATTACCCAGACACTCTTGCTACATTGCTGCCTTCATACTGTAGAATTTCACAGTAACAAAGATTTATTTTCATTTTTTAATACATTTAACTTTTGTATTTCACATAATTATTATAAATAACAATGTTTTTTTTTTTTAATGTACATGGTTACATAATCGTTGCTGGCAAAACAAAAAAACTATTTGCAGCAATTTCCTCCTTGACTCTAAATCAATAGTCCGCTTTCTCCTTGAATCAACAGGGTATTACGCAGCATATTAAAGGGACACTATAGTCACCAAAACCACTTTAACTTAATGAAGCAGTTTTGTTGTATAGATCATGCCTGCTCAATTTTCTGCCATTTAGGAGTGAAATCACTTTTGTTTCTGTTTATGCAGCCCTAACCACACCTCCACTGGCTCTGATTGACACAGCCTGCATGAATACAAAATGGTTTCATTTTCAATCAGATATAACTTACTTTAAAAGTTTTTATCTCCTGCTCTGTAAATTGAACTTTAATTACACACAGGGGGCTCCTGCAGGGTCTTGCAAGCTATTAACTGCGCAGGAGCTAAGAAATTCTAAATTAAACAGAATTTGCAATAAAGGAAGTGCAAACATTAGATGACTCTTTACAGGAAGTGTTTAGGAAGTTTGTGTGTCACATGCAGGGAGCAGGGCTGTCTTTAACATTGATTGGACCCTGGGCAAGCATTTGCTTGGGCCCCCTGGATCCTGCCCTTCCCCTCCACACATTTCCACCCCCTGGCATGCAGTCATGCCCTCCACCCCAATACAGTGGCATAACTAATGTAGAGAAGGCCCAGGTGCAAGACATTTTTTGGGCCTCCCATCTAGCACAATAATGGAGAAAAGATAGATCCTCATCTGTTGTACAATTCCCACGATGCTATGCCAGTTGGGGATCTACCATTTGGTCATTCTTGCAGGGCTGTATTTGTGAGCAGTGTTTGTAAATTTGAATGTGAGCATGTTGTTGTATAGAGTATGTGTGTGCATGTACGGTGTAGTATTGGTGTTAGAGTGAAGGGGTGTGTTTCTATATACTTTTTGAGTTTGAATTCAGGGGCGTGTTTGTATGTAATGTTTGTGTTTGCAGGGGTGTGTTTGCATGTTGTGTTTGATTGCTTGGATGTATGACATACATTCACAGATATCCATACACATTAGCACACTGATACATGCACACATCTGGACACATGCACAGACTGATACAAACAGACTGGCGTATACACACACAGACACATACATACATACACACACACACACAGATACAAAGATAAAAACACTGGCACATCCACACACAGAGATACACACTTACACACACTGACACAGATATAGACACACATTAAGATGCACACAGACACACGGGTACACATGCAGGGGTGTATTTGTGTGCAGTGTTGGCAAATGAATGCATGCCACACAGATGCACACTTACACAAACACTGAGATACACACAGATACACATGCAGTGGTGTATTTGTGTGCAGTGTTAGCGTTGGAATGTAGTAGTGTATATGTGTGCAGTGTTGGTACTGGAATGATGGAACGTATGCATTGCCACACGCATAGATACACACTTACACAACCTGACACTCACATACATACACAGACACGCAGGTACACATACAAACTGACACACAAGTACACGGACACAGGTATACATCCACATAGATACACATAAACACTGACACAAAGGTACACATACACTGTTACAAACACAGCCAGATACACACACACAGCCAGATACAAACGCACACACATACAGATACACACGAATAAAGTCAGATACACACGCATAGTCAGATACACACGCATAGTCAGACACACACGCATAGTCAGATACACACATACAGTCAGATACACACACATACATAGTCAGATACACACACATACATAGTCAGATACACACACACAGTCAGATACACATATACAGTCAGACACACACGCATAGTCAGATACACACATACAGTCAGATACACACACATACATAGTCAGATACACACAAATACATAGTCAGATACACACACACAGTCAGATACGCACACACAGTCAGATACGCACACACAGTCAGATACACACACAGTCAGATATACACACACACAGTCAGATATACACACACACAGTCAGATATACACATACAGTCAGATACACACATACAGTCAGATATACACATACATAGTCAGATACACACATACATAGTCAGATATACACATACATAGTCAGATACACACATACATAGTCAGATATACACATACATAGTCAGATATACACATACAGTCAGATATACACACATTTATATCAATTTAAGTCTAGCCACCCTCTTGTCTCCTTACCTTTAGAGAAGGGTGGCTTCCCTGGGGTCCAGTGGAAGCTGGATGGCTGAGGTTGATGGGAGTCTGATGAACATGTTTACCTCAGTCCCTCTCCTTCACCTCCTCCTCCTGTGTGTGCATCCTCCCTCTCCTCCACTTCCATGTGTCTCCTCCTCCCCAGCGGCACTCTGTTACTTGGGAGGAAGTGATCTCACCTCACTTCCTCCCAGCAGGCATACAGACAGGGGCCCGGTCGGGTGCTCAATTAAAGGGCGGGGGGCCCTGATTACTTCACTTGCCGCAGCCCACTGGGATATTTCTCAGTATCCCGGTGGGCTGTTCAGTCCTGGCTGCGGGCAGGGGGCCCACGGGACAGCTGCTTTGGGCCCCCCAGGAGCAACTGGGCCCGGGGCAGCTGCCCCGTTTGCCCCTTGTTAAAGACGGCCCTGGCAGGGAGGTTGCATAAACAAAGTGATTTAACTCCTAAGTGGCAGAGAATTAGACAGTAAGTCTGCAGGGGCATGATCTATACACCAAAACTGCTTCATTAAGCTAAAGCTGTTTTGGTGACTATAGTGCCCCTTTGACTATTACATCCTTGAAAATGTGGTTTTTCCAAAAATTGGACTGACATTTTAAAAAAATCTGTGCAAATATGTATGTATGTGTGTATGTATCACTTACTCGAAAGTTAATAGAATAATCTGCAGTTCTTTACATTGTACCTGTCTTGAAATATACAACTTGGTTTAGAATTAAAGAGCATTAAATGTTATCTATATGTTGTACTTAGTGATGGCAAACGTATAGATTTTAATTTAAGTCTTTTTAAGGTTTTCGTCCCTCTGCCACTGTCAATCCGTCCTCGGCATTAGATCTGTGTGCTACTGACATACTGGTCTGAGCAGAGAATTGGAGGACAGGGAGAGCAAGCAACTGCCCCCCCCACCCCCCCCTTTCTAAAGTCAGTTCTCCTATTCTGTCACATTGCTACTCCCCCAGCAAAATTTTAAAGGGGTAGCACTAGCAGGTGAGTGTTAAGATTATAGCTTCTAAAGTATAGACATTCATTGTGTTTATCTCCACGTTAAATTAGATGTTTACTGCCTTCAGGGTAGTTATATTTTTAAATGAACCTGTTGTCAAGGCTTGCAACTCTACCGTTTTTGAAATTAATATACCCTTACTTGCTGCTATCATATAGAGATTCAAGAAAGCAGATGCTAATTTCAACTTCTCGTTTTATGTTTTTTTTTAGCCTGGACACTCGTAGATTTTCACTGCTTTGTCTGTGAACTGTATCACTCTTTTACATTTTGTATTCTGCATATTAGCTGGTGTAAATAGTTATTCTTGTAGCGCCGCTAACGTTTGTTTATTTTTCATTATTTCTTTTTGTATATATAATACTTTTTGACAATGAATGTAAACTCCGTTTGGCTTTTGCCCTGTACGAGAAGATTAAATATTATTTCAGGTTTTTTTTTAAAAACACCCCAACGCACTCAAAAACTTATTGGCACCTGAAACTGTACCAAGATTTGTGGCTGTGCCTACCTTCATATCGAATTTATTCCATTCTCACTTCCAGTCCTTCACCTTTCATTTAATATATCGATTTTATTATTGTGTAGAACAGAACGTTGTGTACACCCAATGGTAACTTTGAAAGACATATTTTATACATATTCTTTTAAAGAAAAATACAATAAAATTATTATTTCTTGCAAACTCAATACTGAAGAATTCAATACATAAATATTAAACATTTAACATGTATAGTTGAGGCTGTTAATGACTGAATTTATAAAACTGGACCATATGCAGATCTATACAATTATATAGAGAAATAGTTATATCTCTTTATTGATCTCACCTAGAGTATAGTGTTCAGTTCTATAGAGCAGATCTCCAGGAGGATATAGAGAGGTAAAAATTTTGGGGCCCCTGACACAGCTCAAGGGTCTGGGCCCCCTGGTGCCTGCACCCGAGTCCGCCCACAGGAATACAGTGTCTGCAGGGCCGGTGCAAGGATTTTTGCCGCCATAGGCAAAAGTAGTTTGCCGCTCCCCCATGTGACATCACAATGCCCCACCCATATGATCTGCCATGTTAACTAACACCAGTGCTGCAGTGCCGCCGTGTTTACATTAAAAGGCCTGCAGGGACAGGCTAGACACCAGAACCACTACATTAAGCTGCAGTGGTTCTGGGGACTATAGTGTCCCTTTAATGTGAGGTAAATTAGAGATTAGTGCCACAAATAATATACTAGATTGCCTACTTACAACCAGATGAGGATGATGATGGGCTCTAGCTGCCGTCTGGCTCCACTGGTCTGGTGTAGAACAGGCTCTCTGGAGGCGGTTTGTAACTGTGGTCACAAAAATCAATGTTCTGGGAGAACGGAAGCAGCTCCATTTTTTGAGGGCCCTTTACACAGCTCAAGGTCTGGGTCCCAGGGTCCACCTTCATGTTCCACCAATGAGTTTGTTCACAGGGGTGTGTGTGGGGGGGGGGGATGTCCTGATGTGTGTAAGGAATGCATTGTGTGAATCTGTGTTTGTATGTGTAAGGGCTGCAAGGTGAGTTTGTGTATGTATGGGATGCAGTGTGTGCGTCTGTAAGGGATGCATTGAGTGTGTGTAAGGGGTGCATTGTGTGTTGCTGTGTGTAAGGGATGCATTGCTTGTGTATGTGTGTCTGTGTGTAATGCATTGTGTGTTTTTCTGTGTGCAAGGGGTGCATTGTGTGTGTGATGGATGTCAATCTCTCCCCCTTCCCCCCCGTCAATTTCCTTCTCCCCCCTCCAATTTCTCTCCAATTTCCTTCTTCTCCCCCTCCCTCCCTCTCTCAATTTCCTTCTTCTCCCCTCCCTCTCCTTCTTCTCCCCTCCTCTCCTTCTTCTCCCCCCCTCTCCAATTTCCTTCTTCTCTCCCTCCCTCTCCAATTTCCTTCTTCTCCCCCACCCTCCAATTTCCTTATTCTCCCCCTCCCTCTCCAACTTCCT